TTATTCATATATTCATTGAAAACCTGCAAACAAATCATTGAATCAGTGAGTCAACTCAGGAACTGAATTAGTTTGATTTCATACAATTAATTCAGAATTTTGTAAAATGAGTTCTTTAAAAATGTCCAAATGTGAATTAAAAAGAATGATTCATTGATTTGAGCATCACTATTTGCTCATAAGAGCTAGGATAGATTTGTAATGAATAATAGGGTTTGGAACAACATGAGAGTGAGCATAATGACGACAGTTTTAATTTGAGGCAACTATCCCTTTAATGGTGTTGTGGCAGCTGTTCACCTTATAAAAGTTGCAGAAGCGGCAGTTATGAAGGGGGAAAAGTATGCAAATTTGCATAGGCTAATATTTAACTGTAGCAGTTGCTACTGGTTTTCCTTGAGTTGCATCAACTGTGTATGTTAGCTTCTGTTGTGCCTCTGCTTCTATAAATAAACACCTTTCAGGCTGTCTTTCCCTTCCACTCAGCCTAGTGCTGCCATGTTAGTTTTCTGTCAGGCAGGTCAGCCTGACGGTGAGAAGGAACCATAACACGGTATTGTGCTCATGTATGCTTGAACAACATAAACCTGAGTGATGTGCAAGGTTGTTAACTCCTCTCTGTCCATCACGCTCTCACTGACAGTTTGCACGCTGACCCTCATTTTCAGATGAACCAAGACAGGCAAGTATGCAAGGAGAATGTGCATCCTTCCTCTGTGAGAAGCAAGAAGGAGAAATAAAGAGCGAAAGACATTTCCATAGACACAGTGACTGACACGTCTGCTGATGCAGCCGGAGAAAAGGGCCGTCCTGCCAGTCTTGTCAGACAAAGCACAGACCCAGCATGAGATGACTGGGGTGAAGGAGAGGGGGAAAACCGCCATGAGACCTCTGTGAAGAGAAGAATGGCTGAATAAGGGAAACAGTCAAGACACCAGCTGTAGAATGAAACGACAAAAGACAATATATTCATAAGAAATGTGTTCTTTAGCATTCGCCTGCATCCTTTTTTATCGGTATACCATATACTAGGGTTGTGACGGTGAGGAAATTTTCCCACCGGTTAATACTAAATCATCCGCCTTCGTCTTGTCTGTCTCACCTCACTCTTCTTGTCAGTCAGCTCGACTCACTTTCCTCACTGGAGAAATGAAATCTGATCTGTGATGCGACTGTCGTTCGGCACGCTGCATTGAGCAGCCGCGTTCAGTTTTTAATTGTGGTGTCTGTTCTTTTACTGAACTAAATGATTTTTATTACTATAAAAAATCAAAACGACGGTGGGGGTCGGTGACGCGGTGGGCAAGTGACGTAACCGGTGTTGCGGATTAACACCGGTATCACCGTCAGCACCGTCTACCATATACCCCATTCGAAAGTAGTAAGATTTTTGTAAAATATATTTTTGAAAGAAGACTCATGCTAAACAAAAGGCTGCCTTTATTTGATCAAGTATATATTAAAACCAGCAATATTGTGAAATACTGTATTATGATAAATAAAAAAAAAATTTTTTTTTTAAATCAGCGTCCATTACTACAGTCTTCAGTGTCACATGGTCCTTCAGAAATCATTCTAATATGCCGATTTGAACCTCAGAAGCATTTCTTATAGTTATCAATATCGAAAACAGCCATTTAATATTTTTTCAATTAAATATTTTTTTCAGGATTCTTTGATTATAAGAAAGTTCAAAATAACAGCATTTTTTAAATAGACAGTGAATGCTAAAGAGTTCGATTGTGAGATATATATATATATATATATAATATTATAATTTATATATGCACATTTTATGATCATAAGTCATTTGTTTTTATATTTAGATTATCTTTGAGCACTTAATTTTTAAATAACACTGTTAAATGTAATCTTTACCTAATCTGAAAATATAAATTTTTTAATGCTGTACATTAACATGTCCAAAATGTAACCATTTAAAAAGGTTCATTAGCATTTAAAATGTTTGATTGTAGTTTACAGTGAGTTGCTGAGTTTCGACTTTAAAGGTTAAATCTTGTCGGTCATGGCGAGTTGTCATCTAGATCAGAGGTCCCCAACCACCGGGTCGCGGACCCACTATCGGGTCGCAAGAACGTTCTGGGAAAAATGTGTATAGATATGACACTGTTATTTATTTATGTTAATGATTGTTCTAATTATTCTGTATTTCATTGTTCTCGCACAAAATCAAAGCGCGCACAAGAGACGTGTTTCAGACAGCGTGGAAATACCAAGTTGCGTATACATACACATAAAATGAGCCTATGTCAAAAACCCTTCACGGCATTGTCATTCTCTGTGCTTTAAATATTTTTTTTTTTTGCTTATCCGAAAAAAATAGTCCGATCTGTGACTCCAAAAAAAAAACACAATATAATGCATTGAACCACTATATAATGCTATTATAATACTATATAATAGCCTAGAATATTTTCCAAACGTAACCGGTCCGTGGTGTAAAAAAGGTTGGAGACCCCTGTTCTAGATTAACAAAAAGTCATGTGGGGGGTTGAAAGCTTGAAGTGGGTTAGCGCTCACCCCTGCTTGGTTCAACTCATCCTCAGCGGTCAGTGTCATGTGATCACAGCTGACTTCCCCCACGTCTTTGATATGGTTCGATTTGGGATTAAGATCTGCTTAAAAGCTTCTGCTACAAATGGCCCCATGAACCCATCGGATGGACAGACATCTTTCAGCATCTACAATGAAGGTTGTTGAAGCAATTTCAACTAAGCTCTCAGCGTTGAGACCACCTTGGCGTGAAATGGAGTTTGGGAATGGCCATAAACCCGATTGTTTTCCTCTAATGTTATGGGAACAGCCAGAAGTCACTCAGAATCGACAGATCCAGTTTTTACCTTGAGGGTAAAAGCTTGAACAGCTATTATTCTGTATAGACAAATAGTTCTTTTTTTTTTTTTTTAAAGAAAAAAAGTAATCTGCTAATTTTGTGTAATGGCATTAGTCATCAATAGACAGATTAGTTACTTTGTCTAGAACCTGTTGTGAAAAAAAAAATCAACTAAAAACAAGTGAGCCCTTGTTGAATTATATTGGCAGCACAACAGAGAGGAACAGGGCCAACAGGTTGACTGGATTACCTTCCTGTAGACATCAGACATCATGATTTATAGACATGTGGTTCTGTAGAATTGCTTTCTTTGTTATGCATTCTTAATAATTATAAGGTGCATGTCTATTGATTTGGCTTTAGTTGTTGCCAAAACAGAAAATGCAGACTGGTAACCTGCTGATTGTTGGAGATTTTAGTTTTCTGTGCATTGTGCTATATCTATCCCCTAGCTTTCTCACATCTCATACTGTAGATTGTGTCTTGACACTGGTTTCCCAGTGGCCTTACAGCTTTGGCTAACAGACAAGCCACATTTCCGATCAATTCAACATTTTCACACGTAGTGTTGTGTGGACTGTCTACGGTCGGCAGCTTGTGTGAACAACACTGCAGCTTGCTTTTTTTTTTTTTTGCCAGTCAGCATAAGGACAAGATATTACTCATCCCTAGAGAGCCAAACCATGTATTCATCCTCAGCTCTTTAGGTGATGCATTGAGAGAGAAATAAGCTACAAGGTTTCTATGCATTGTGCAGTGCTTCCTACATTGAACAGGGGGATGTCTGTAGAAAGTTACATAACTTGACAAAATGTGTTCATTTGGAGAGTCCTGCAATGTCCTGTGTAATATTATGTATTACATTATTATAGAGCATCACACTTGAAATCCTAATTTGTTGCAATATTAAAAATGATAAATTTAGCAAATTACTTTCCCCCCCCATTTATATGTCCTCTGAACTGTTATGTAACCAAAAACGGTTTAGTATTACCTAACTTGGTATTGTACGAATGTGGTACGCAATCACTGGTGTGTAAATTTCCCTGTCTCTGTATTTTGATGTTCGTTCTGAAAATATACAGCCCTTATGATTTGCAATCTCACTTAAGTTGGCTGAATAATATCCTGTGAAGTCCACTTAGCGGGACACTATTGGGCAATTGGAATGTACCCATAGTTTAGGATTAGCCATAATGGTGAATGTTGGATTTACACTCTGCAGCTTAACTATTAAGAGCAGTGCATGTGCAATCATGGAAATGAGTCACATTTGTGTGGACCTCCACTCGTGTATACTAATATGATGGTTGACTCTTGTCTGAGTATAGATTTGGAATCTCACCGTCTGTCAGTAGTTCTCAGTGGAGCGCAAACAAGAGAAAACATCCATACGCACAATACTGGTTTTGTCCTTTGAGCAATGTCTTTAAAGATATCACTCCCTTTTCACCGTTTTTATCGCAACCGCTTTCTGTTGGACAGAGATTGGTGATTGTAAGCAGGCTTTTAATGTTTAAGGTCACAAACTCAACCAGGTGGTGTTTGGGTGAAGCCAGATTAAATGACACAAGAAATGGCCTGTCTTTTCTCCCTGCATCGACTCTTTTATTTAGAGTTTCTTTGTTTAGGTGTTAGATGGAGTGTTGGATTTAAATCTCACACTTGGTTGGGTGCTGGCCATGAGAGATGGTACACCGCAACAGTTGTGTGATGGAGGACACCAGGGGTTTTTGTGTTTGTGTGAGCTGAGAAGCAATCAGCTTGCTGCTGGAAACACTGTGCTGTTTATTAAAGCCAACATGGAATCACAGTTTCTATCCTTGATACATGTTCCTGTTGTTATTGTGAAGGATTCATTGGTGCGCATTATTCAGGAAAAAAAAAAATCAACAACTTTCCATTCTGGCTGATGTCATGCCAGCTGTTTTTTAACTCCTCCTCTATAACCACTTTCCCGATGGATACAATTAAGTGCCTCCCTCTTTTTCACTGTACAGCACGTTATGCAAGTAAAATGAGTTTGAGAAAATCCGAGAGATTGAAAACATCAGAAACATCACAAATACTTAAATTATACTACCAGAGTGTTGTTTTTCTCTCTGTGTTTGTACTTTCGCTGACCATAAACTTTGCTCTTTTTCAGGACCCTGCAGGAATATTTGAGCTGGTGGAGCTGGTCGGGAATGGCACGTATGGTCAGGTGTACAAGGTAAGAAACTTTTATTGTATTCTTTTTGAAATAATTGCTTTTCCATAAATTTTTTTCTCCAACGCTGCTTTTTGAGCTATGGAAACCAAAAGCAAAAGGATTTATGTGATGTTTGTCTGAATGTCTGACTGGGGTTAGAGGGGTATTTCAACCAAAACATTTTTCCATCTAATAATCCACATTTCTCTCCAAACCAGTGTGACAGGATGCAACAATGACATTTAGGAGGACTTAGAATATAGTGCACTAGTCTTATGGACTACTGTTACGATTAGTGGACGACCGATATATCGGCCGATATTTGGCATTTTTCATAAGTTTTCTGTTTGGCCGATGCGTTCGTGGCGGGATTTTTATTTTGAGAGTGCTGAGAACGGCAGTGCCTGAGCATACAGTGCTCACATTCTCCCTCTTGTTCGCTGTCGTCGCTAACAGTTCTGTCCACGGACAGAAATCCGTCTAATAATCAGATAGAACTGTAAACCTTGCAAACTTAGTCGGATCCAGTTGTGAGATCTTGTGAAGTGTGCATTTGTATCCTGCATGATCGCGTGTTCTCTGCGTGACGGTCGGTCAGTGTGAATTGAATGCGGACAGGAGGAGAGTTCAGCTTCACTGAGAGGTGCGATCGACAAACTTAAAACTCATGATTTCAAATTACGCTTCATGCTTTTGCCCAATGTCATATGCCATTTTCACTGTGTGCTGTATGTAAAATGAGTGTTACCTTGGCTTTATTTGAAAAAATGTGATTCCCAATGCGCACAAACTTCCCAGAATACTGAGTGTCCTGTTGGTTACAGTGTTTACTTCATTTTTAATTTTAATTTAATTTAATTTTAATTTTAAGTATAAGCATGTTTATTTTACACATTTATTTTTTAATCCATTTTCAAATGATTTCAAATTTCTTAAATATTAAATAAAATTATATCGGCTTTATATCGGCCATCGGCCACCCTGCTTTCCAAGATATCGGCATCGACTGTCAAAAAACCAATATCGGTCGACCACTAGTTACGATACTTGTATTGTGCTTTTTTGTACTATGGAGCTTGACAGCAGGGCTATCCCAAGCATGGAGATGGGTCTAGTGCGAGTTAGAGAATACAGATCCCCAGTCAGTCCCCAAATCAGCCCCCATGGACAGCTCTGCTTGATTGACATGGTCACCATTTACTTCCATTAAACGGAAGAGAGCAGCATCAACATTCTACATAACATCCCCTTTTGTGTTCTATGAAGGAAAAGTCAGTTTTACAGATTGAGGTTGATTTTTGGGTGAACTCTCCCTGTAAACCTGAACTGTGCTGGGCATCTTCTGATTAGAGTATTAAACTCTTTAGTCAGATAAGGTCCTTGCACATCCCACCAGAACAGCATGTGGCCACAAAGCTGCGCCCTGCTGCGGAACCAGGACATATGCTTGGGAGGAGTAGACGGGAACGACGAGAAGGGTGGCCATGAGATAGAGCGGGAAGCAGTGGATGGAGGGAGATGAGAGCTGGCTCTGTGCCGGAGTTAGCAAATAGAGCCTAAAAGAAGTTCTTTAGTGGGTGGAATGTGATAAGAGAGTGTCTGATGTACATGCGTCTCTCTTTGCCTTGAAGCTGCAGACACAGACACACGTTTCAGATTTGTGGAGCGAGACGATCTGTGCTCAGACAGGGAGGTGAATCTCTTCCGCTCGGCTTCTTTCTGGTCTCTTAGTGGGGTTCTGCTCTGTCATTCCAGTTTGCCCTTCACGTCTCAGACATACAGAGCAGGTCTGAGTGCACAGGTGTATGTGGAGGAACTTGGTGTTGGTGTACCTTAAGCACACCTCATCCACTTTAGCTGAACCTGTCTGCCCCATCATTCCCTATGGTAATAATCCCTGTATGATTTACATGGTTATGTTTATTGCAGATGAGATGGAATCAAATGCTGCAGTTGACGACATTGATATCCTTTACTTTGTATTCGTACTGCATCAGCCCATCTAGTCAGGGTTCGGAAGTAAGAATGGCATGGTGGTTCAGAGCCAGTGTGAGAGGCATTCTGGCCTGTTTATGGAACCTTCACTTACTACCCATTGAGCTGGTGCTCTTGAGCAGGGGTGTCCAACTCTGCTTTTGAATGGCTGACATCTTGCAGAGTTTATCTCTAGCACACCTGCCTGTAAATTTCTAGTAATCCTAAAAACTTTAACATTCAGGTGCATTTAATTATGGCTAGAGCTATGCTCTGTAAGATGGTGGCCCTCTAGGAGCAGAATTGAACACCCCTGAGGGAGCAGAAGAACTGAGTAAACAAACAAGGGCTCATGCAAAGTCTGTTTAAAAAAAACTTTTTATTTCACTTCGAGGTCAAAGTTATTTGTTGGAAATGTGACTTTGTAAATCAGGGATAGCCAACCCAGTTTCTAGAGGTCTACTATCCTGCAGAGTTTACTGTAGCTCCGACCCTAATCAAACTCAACTGTTTGAGTAAGTTTGGAACTGATGTTTGCAAGAGGGTAGTCCGTCAAGAGCAGGATTTGCTACCCCTGCCCCAAAGAAATCTTAAAGTTTAATGTATGTTGAGATCAGGGGTATAGCCAACCCTGTTCCTGCAGAATTTTGCTCCAACCGTAAGCGAACACACCTGAACCTGTTAATCAAGGTTTAATCACAGATAGGTGTGTTAGAGCAGGGTTGGAACTGAAGTCCGCGGAAACGAGTAGGAGCAGGGTTGGATACCCCTGGTTCTGACACTTAAATGTAGTTGCTTAAAACTAGCAGAATTCTTTTAGTTCAGCCTCAGGGCCATTGAAATTTTCTGTGGGCTCCAAAAACTTGCTAACTTGTACTGTACTGTCCCATTGTTTTGAGATTGTGTGCTTTGTAAGAAAGTGAAGGATGGTCATTTTAGCTGTCCCGGCAGTCAGTCGATAAGATCTGCCTGGTGAGACACTTCAAACCTCCAGTGAGCACCTTTCCTCATCTCATTCATAATGGAGAGGCAGCTCTTCCAGTTCCTGGAAAGACAGGTCCGCAGACGGATCCCTGAGGTCTGACTGTCACCACCTTTCCTATGCTGAGGCTGGATTTAGAAGTGGGTCATTCCATAATTCCACTCTGTCACATTTAGTTTTTAATGAAACCAGCTCTCTTTTCCCCTTCTGATACTTTATCTGAGATCAGAAATATGCTGTTTGCTCATGTGTTTGGTCAGACAGGAACTGATATGGCTGAATTGTGTGCTTAGCATGGGATAGGTTTATTTACTGTATCTTTTTTACATGTGGACTCTTTTGTTCATTGCTGATACTATGCCTCATTCTCTTAGGGCTTCATTTGACACAGGACCCTCAAAGGAGAATTGAGGTTTAGTTGTTTTTTGTTTTTTTTCTTCATCAAGAATTTTTTCAGCTCTGCTTGGGACAGCACTTCTTTTGTTGCAGAAGTAGTAGCACTTTTTTTCTTCATTCAGCCCTATTGGATAGAAAGAGGCAGGATGTGGCCACTTTTGAAAGTGCATCAGTAACTGCAGGGGCTCATCTGAAAGCAGAGTCCTGGTGCTCTCAAATTATTTTGGATAACATTGACCTATTTTTGGCTCCGCTGTTGGATAAAAATACCTCTGTCTAAGGGTGCTTTCACACTAGCACTTTTGGCGCGCACCCGGGTTCGATTGACGTCAGAGTTCGTTACGTTTGGATGATGTGAACGCGGTCTTCCACAGCTGCTGGCTTGATGACAGAAACGAACCGCGGTTCGGACCCAAATAATATAATGTGAACACAGTCCAGCAGGGGCAGGGGGAGCAATCGAACTCTGGTTCGGACCAAGCAATCGAACCAAGTGTGAAAGCACCCTAAATGTCTCCTTGTGCATTAGAGACACACCTGCTCTAAAGACCTGTGTGGAAAAGCTCTCAACTCATCCCTCTCATGCTCTCTTTGTTTCTTTTCTTTATTTGTCACAATATGTGAAAGTCAGGCTAATGCCTATATGTTAAATGTGTTTGTTGTTGTTTTTGTGTAATCTTATGCAGAGGAAAATCATGATAGTGCAGTCTATGAATTCCAACCAGTACTGTTCCCTGTACTTTATAATTTTTTTTTTTATTGGGCCATTGTAATGCAGTTTTAAATACCCCATACCACACACATATAGAAACAGCCTTTGAAACGGGTCAGAATAATGCCGTTGAAGTTTAAATAAGCCACATCACGTCGCATTGACTCATAGGATGAAATCATTTCAGAGCTCAATGGCACCGCAGGCATGAGCCTGGGTGGAGCGACATTACCAGAACTGAACGCTTTTGCCCTGTTGGTGTGTTATGCTCTGTTATGGCTCATTCAAAGTTGAGAGAGCAGTTGAATAAGACATCATTTGTGTCGTTGTTACTGATGGTGACTCAGATTCTCACAGAGCTTGTATGTTTTGGTTGGTTTCGGGTCTGTAGGGTGACTCCTGCTTTAAACGTGACTGGGAGACATTGGTCCTGATTCCACACTGCTTGATTCCGGCATGCTAAATTATGTTGTATCTTTTGTTGAATAATTGAATCTGTTTATCCAAACACAGAAACCAATGTATACTCTTTGTATAATCTGTTTCAGCTAGAGAGATTTCACAATTTTCAATTGCAATTTGGATACCAAAACAACCTTTATTTAAAAAGTTAAATGTTAGCATTAATAAGTTAAAGATATGTAGCAAGTAAACGGCTATTTCCCTAGTAAACAGTGTTTTAAAAAAATTCATGGAATTATTCATAACAGGTAAAGTCAACAATTAAGAAATAATAGAGTAAGGTTAAAAAAAAATAGTTGTGAGTATATCTAACAGCAGTATCAATTATTCAAGTGGACATTCAGAACTTCAAAAATACAAACGTAATCCAACATTGTATAAAACTATTTAGAACTATTATAGAACTAGTTTTTATAGATGAATGTTAGATTTAATGCATTAATACTAGGGATGTCGCAATTATTCTATCTAAGCAAGATTATTTGAGTACACGTG